CCCACTGTCTAGTGATCACACTGTCTGTCTCTTTCAAAAGTTTGGAAGTGCCATGGGAATGTCCAATAAATGTGCAGATATATGGTTGGGTTTTTTTTGAATCATTACAGTTGTCATGCCAATACTGTCTGCTCTACTGCTTATGTGCAATGCATTGGGCCATTTTCTGACCCCTAACAGTCACCCCCCAGCTGCATCACCTGGCTGCTGTTAGTTGCATCTCAAATCAAAGTTGCATGGGCTCCCGAGTTTCAGCTTTCAAGCTTGAACACTAAGGTGTGCTGTTGCTCATGAATGTATGTTATATCTCCATTTCATTGTGCTTGGAGCAACCCCATTTGCTAAGAAGTAGGATTTTTAAAGCTCAAAATAAAATTGGTTGGAAACTCTTGGCTGGGAGCATGCTGCTAGAGCTTTATGTTGATTTATTTGGAAGAAACAGTTGCATTTTCTGAATGGAGGAAGAGGTGTGGTTTGCAGGGCTTTGGGGGAGTGCATTTTGTAAGGCATGCATTTTTGAAACAGTTTCCTGAATCCCCAATCTAGAATAAAATGTGGTCACCCACCAAACTTTTAAAGTTTCAAGGTTATGACATTAGCAAGTGGGAGCAAGTTGTGGCTGTAGATCCGCAGAAGTAGCACATTATTAATCTAATCAAGCATTTCTTTAGAATTATCCTGATTTTCAGTCTGATACACATAGATTATTTGTATTATGACAGCAGACAACCTCCCAGTGTGAAATCTGAGTTTGACGAGCTGCTCTCTCCATTGCACTTTGTTGACTCATGCACTGGCCAATTGTGATCTTGGGGCTGGAGAACCGTTGGAAAGAACTTGTGTAGAGCCATTCAAAAACGCTAACCTGGCTTTCAAAACTAGACAAACAGCAAAAGTCTAGATCTTTCTCTATTTTTTTTTTTTTTTTAAAAAAAAAAAGAAATCATGGGTAACTTTTCCAGTCAATTGCCATTAATCCTCAGTAGTGTATTTTTATGAGGGAGAGAAAAACTAGTTTAAAAAAGAGAGGAGGGGGAATGATGCTTCCAAACTTTGGAACAGTTGTGATTTTTCTGTTTTCCTAAGCCTACCTTCCTGTAGCCTGTCTGCTACCTAATCTGTTTGATATCTACCTCGTAACTCTCATTTTAGATGGGACTTCCCCATTTTGGCCCATTGGTTTCGTCCTGCCACCTTCTAAGTTGTCCCACATTCTGTTTTAACTTTCTTTTCTTTCTTTATTTACGTCCATTACAGCCAGATCTCTATGGCTCACAGATGTGCACAGGGAAGCTCCCAGAGGTGCGTCACAGGCCCAAAAGAATCTTGCATCCAAATGCTTCTTTGAGATGTCATAGCACTGCAGCAGCAGGTTGATGTGTGTGCAGTAGATTTGTTGCTTGGCTTATCCCACTTTTTTCATTAATCCTGAACTTTGGAGGCCCATGTCACACATTGTTTTGTGGAGAACTTCTAAGGAAGAAGTTATATTAAAGTGTTTATCTAGATTGGGGTGGCACCAAGGCTAAGTTTAAATGTACTTCAGGTGTGGTTTTTAATTCAGCAAGCCCTACAATTCGCTGGTAGATGTTGGCTGTGCAGTAAATGGGGAAAATTACAGGCTTTCAAATTTAGGAAATTATACTGGATATTTAAAGCATTTTTTCATTAATATAATTTCAATGCAGAGCTGCGGCTTTCAGTGATTGGATCAATTTTCAAATGCCACCTTCACTCATAAGATGTCTGAGAATTTATGCAAGGCGTTGGCACTCTCAGCCTGTTTTCTGAGTCCCAGGTTTCTGTATATTTACAGTAGAGAACCTACAGAGCTACAGGAGCTCGAAAAAGAGACATCCTTAGCAGCAGTGGTACAAGTCAGTGTTATGATTTTGAGAATTGAAATGCAGATTCCTAACCCCGCAGTGTTCCCTGGTATGCTGAAAACTAATTGTATCAGGGTGGGGTTTACCTTTTAATCAGACAGCAGTGATCGTTTCAGCAAAATGTGTTTGCATTATTAAGCATTAAAAATCCAGTGTAAAGCTCCTAAAATACACTGTGTTGTCCACAAATATAGAATAGTCTTGTTATGTCTGCACTGAAACACCAGGAAAACAAGCTAAGCCTTAAATCATTATTCCATGGAAGAGCAGAGTTGATTTAAAGATGAGTTTCATGCACTTTTTTTCCTATCACAGTCATAACTTTCTTTTCTTTTTGAAGTTGGATCCTGGTTTTAGCTCTGTGTTTTGATAGAGAAGAGAATGATTGCATCTAATGTATAAGCTACTAAAAATTGTAAAGTGTCAATCAAAATTTCTGGAAGTAATCTTACAGGTAGCATGGGATCTTGGTAAAGATCTGTGAGGCTGTGGCTGTTAAATACTCTAAATCTGCATTCTTTCCGCTTGACATCTACAGGGCATTCCAGAGCAGTGGGCCAGACTACTACAGACCTCCAACATAACAAAACTGGAGCAGAAGAAGAACCCACAAGCTGTTCTAGATGTTCTCAAATTTTATGATTCCAAAGAAACAGTTAACAACCAGAAATATATGAGCTTTACGTCAGGAGGTAAGTCAGCATTGCACTGTGAAAAAAGGAGTGTCAGCCCCAACATGAGTCAGACATTGAGTTCAACATTCAAGTGGTCAAGAAGCAACCTTAAAAAATTCCACTTTGTGGAATACTCCTGAAATGAATTATATTTCTCCTTTTGTCCCCTAAATGTCATTGAAGCTGAGATTTTTCTTTGTTGCTTTATTTTAGAACTAAATAAGATAACAGAACAATCACTACCACTTTTAGTCAGAAGCATTAGTGGCCAAAGGTCACGTTTACTTTTGTGTCTTCGCATCCTTGTCCCTTCACGGTGTTCAGATTGGAGTACAGGGTATGCTTGTTCCACACATTTCATGAGTTACACTTTGATCCTTTGAACAAGGAAAACAAGGTGCCAAAGGTTACAGACCAGGAGGATTTTTTGTCCTACTTTGTGATAGAGGAGAATTTTCCGGGATTTTTTTTGCCTCAGCGGTAGAGAGGATATAGAGAAGTTGGTGTGCATAAATTCACAAACCAACCTAGAACAACTGCTATTGTGATGTGAAAGGAATGTTGCCACAGAGGATGAGAAGGAAGGTGGCAGTGTCTAGAGCAATTTCTGTAGCATCCTCATTTCCAGGAAGATCCTAATGACTTAGACATTGCCATCCAAAAAGCCTGAAAATATGATGGGGGTGTCAGTTTTTCCCTTGGTTGTGTACAGTCTGGAAAATCGTAGTGTAGTGTTGCAAAAACGAGAGAGCAAGCCTGTGCTGCAGTTTGTATTTTTTCTTCCTTGGCCTATTCTTTCTTTTTTTTGCTAGACAAACTCTGGTTGGTGTCAAAACTAGCAAGTAAGCAGAGGATTTTACTAAGTGCAGCGTATCTGGCTTTTGTATCAAAGTGTTCATTTGCTAGTCCTTAAAAACTGAGTTGATTTTTAAACCAAGATACCATTAAGATACCATTAGTGTGGTAAAGCTCATGTCAACAGCTTCAGCTAATGGGGGGGTGTTTCTATCCAACAGGGTGTGGACAGCATTTGTAATTTAACCTGCAGTGGTTCACTTCCCTACATGTGATAGTCTGTAATTGCCTCAGTTTGCTGGACCAGCCAATACAACTTCCAAAATGCAGACTGGGAGATCTTCTCAGAAGTCCTAAAAACTGCAGTTATCTCCAGAATTTACTAACATTTCTCTTCTTTTGAGGGAAAGCATCTTTTTTTCTAAATTCCATAATTAAAAGGTCTGACTGTCTAACTTGACAATGCTTGCTAAAATAGCCATTATTTTGTAATGAAATGTGAAATTCAAAACAGTTATTGTATCCTCCTGAACTCAGGAGCTGTTACTGTGCTATGTCAGAATAGAAGGGCCATGGCTGAGAGGGATTTGGGGGAAGTTTTTATAGGGAAACAGTTTCAGCAAGCTAAAGAGAATCAATGTATGCAATTTATTTAAAACAAAACAACAAAAAACTATTTTAGCTGAAGTATTGACTGCTAAAGAACCATTTGCATTTTCTTGAACAAATTTCTATTTATTTTATTCACTGGCAAAACAGGGCAAAAAATAGACACAAGAAGCTGTAGAAAAAGAATTAACCTAGTATGTTGTCCTGTTATCTTGCTTGCTAAGTAAAATAACTTGCTACTGGAGGAATGTTATGGAAGAAAAATGCTGTGTATTTGGATGTACTTAGTTCTTTGGGATTGCCCACAACAGGGAGTTTTATAACAGCGTCTGCTTAATTTCCCCTTCCACGTTGCAGATAAAAGCGCCCATGGATACATAGAAGCCCATCCTTCGGTGAGTGTTAGTGAAACTAACCTTCTACTTTCGTAGCATTTAAGAATTGTGGAGCAAGCTGTGAGCTTTGTCTTTTGTGATAGAGTGCCAGCCTCGTAGGCTGAAAGAAAGTACATTTTAGTGCCTTTGCAGCAGCAGAAAAGGGATCACTAGCTGTTTTCTGATTTTCTGTTTAAGAACTTTTAAGCAGATGAAAGTCTGGTTTTGCAGACAAGATTGCTTGCTGTTCTTAACCATGGTGGAATATATAATTGGCAACAATATGCAGTACTGTCTAATTAGCCCATTTTAATTTACTTTTAACAACTTAGAATCCGTTTCTATTAAATTTTATTATTTATCCTTAGTACTGCTGGATATGTAGCTGAATATAAATAAGGTTATAATTGATATGTAACTCACTGGAACCGTTGAAAGAAAGTTTTAAATAATCATCCACTCTAATTAATACTGGATTGCCATAGCAATCCCAGAGATGTAGTCATGACATCCACATTAATATTGACCAGATTTATTAGTGTTAATGTTAGTGCATTAAATAGCAAATGACTGAATGGGGATTTGGCCTTTATTTTCAAGTGTTAAGCAATGTAATTTTAGGTTTGTGATTACACAGCAGACAGTGTGTACAATGAAATGAAAATAATCTTTGAATATTCACACATCCAATTTCCAATCGATGCCACTTTCATTATCTTTAATAAAACACACTTCTAAAAGGAAGTTTGGGGTTCATCAGAGCATAGTGGGCCTTCCCAGTAGCTTTTTCAGTGGGTGTGGACATGCTGGCAGATGCTGTGGTATTTTGTTCTAGCAGACATAGACAACGGTGGGACAGTCAGGATGTCAGCTTTCAAAAGTTACCAACTCAGAGGATGCTGGTTGAATGTTACAGTACAGGGAAATCAACTCTGACAGGATCGAGCAGTCATTGGAATGACTTTAATTTCATTTCACTCCTTAATGGGAGTCTGGCATTAAATAATATGACGTTGTATATGTTCTAGCTGCACAATTTAGTGCTGTCAGACTAAGTATGGGGCCCAGTGGAAAAAAATAGTTATAAGAATTCGACATAACAGAAATGCGATTATTCCCTTCTTTATTTTTGCCCAAGTAAGCAAAGTGCTAATGATGAACAGAAAGCAATACAGTGATCATTATATACTTGTACGACAAAGGAGCATTCCCGTTAGGCTCTGCTTGACAGAGTCGGCCTTTACGCTGGCGTTTAGAATGTCTGACATATCATTCCTACTTTGGCCAGATTAGTAGCCTGTTTAAATTTATCTTTAAAAACTGGGTAACGCAACTGAGTCTCACAGAAAATACAACACTCTGTGTGTGTGTGTGTGTGTGACTGTGTTCAAGTGCAGGTGAACAAAGGCAGCAATACAGTCACCTGCTCAGTAAGACACAGGTGTGAAGATTATATCTCCCTCTTTCCTGCAGACAGGCTCTTACTGGTATTTATACTGGACCAAATTGATGCCATTCTAAAGATAACACAAAGAAGCTGTGAATATTTAGAATAATGCCTTTGATTTGCTTAACTTCTCTTAGTGGCCCGTGGTAGCCAGCTTTAAGGCAGTTGGCAAACACTTAGCAAGGCACCTTTTCAGTTTGTTGTTTCGCCAGCAAATTGGTGACAACGTGATATAAGCCCCTGCCTCTGAGTAGCGGCTGGGACTGGTGGGGCAGTTTTCAGTTCATCTAACCTTAAATATCTGCACTGTAGGCTTCAGCTTACATGCAGACAGCTGATCAGCCAGACTTCCCTTGCCTGCTGCATATTTGAAGGTTGAAGGTTGACTGCACCCTGGCAGTGGCTTTTATTCTCTGCTGCCTGTAAGGAGAGCCTGGGTGAGTAGTCAGGATACCTGCCTGGCAGCCCTGGGCAGGTGGGCAGGACACACCTTGCTGCTGAGAGAGCTGCATTCACTCTGTGTTACTGTTGCAGTAAGAGACAGGCAAACACTGGAAAGATCAAGGTTTTAACTTATGATTAGGTAGAGAGGAGAATGGTGCTGAAAAAGGAGCTACTAAACAGGGGAACTCAGCACTGTAGAAACAGGTAATGTGATTACCCCAGAGGTAAATAGTAAAGAAACAAATAGCTTTTCTCTCAAACCGAATTCCCAGCAAGACAACAAAGGAGGCTTTCCACTTTGAAGTATGTTAATTAACCTAGCTGGTAGACACCTGTTAGCTTAATTAACTGTTATCATTTCTGTAGACACAATGCCAAAGCAATTAACCAGCAACTAGATGTGATTTCTAGTGATATATTTAAGTATTACATTCTGTGAAATTAGACTTTGACTAAGCACAGGAATGATTTAGTTGTTTTTAGCAAAAATAAAAAACACCAAGATGAGTTAACAAAACAGCACAGTAATTTGTGACCTTTAAATTGTATTGTGCCATGTGTAACTTAGAACTGAGGTCTGTAGGACTATCGGCGTGTCTAAATTGGTTTCTGATGCCTAAGCAGACTAAAGTTGTGTGTAATTATCAAACCTCCCAAGTGCCAAAATGGCAACTGTCACTCATGCTACTTTCTGTCCACAGAGCACAAAGACAGCATCAGAACCACCTCTAGCTCCCTCTGTCTCTGAAGAAGAGGATGAAGATGATGAAGAAGAGGAAGATGACAATGAACCTCCACCTGTTATCGCACCACGGCCTGAACATACAAAATCAGTAAGTCCCAGCTTTGGTTGGCACTGTATTTGGTGTAATTCACAGCTGCATGTTTCTGATCAGACAGCACTTGATGTTCAGGGATGAGGACTTTCAGAGCTGGAGTCCTACCATGACAGAGTGCTTCACCCAGGCCGCTGATACCAGGAAAATCTGTTATGAGCTTTCACATTTAGTCAGGAGTTTCCTGTGATTCTGATTGGAACTGTGAATTTATATTAGTATCAGATAAGAGGTAGCACTGTGTCTTTTAATGCTACCAGTGTAAAAGTGAGAAAGTTTATCCAAAGTATCTGTGTAGGCTCTCTGTCATCAGTGCAGAGAGTGGTCATCAAACACAGTTCACGTCCTTTCAGGATACGTAGGAGAAACTGTCCCCTGGAGGTGCCTGTCGCTCTCCACAGACTGTGTAAGTGGCTAAAGGAACAGCTTAGACTACGCCCTTAACTTTTATGTGACTGAAGTTTGTTGAGAAGAATCTCCCACATCTATGCCTTGTAAAGGGAAGGTCCCTGAAGGACTGGAACGCAGTCCTAATGGCCACTCACTAAAGCTTGAAATACTGATGAGAAGTCAGTTCAACACTTAATGATCAGAAAAGGAAAATGCCCCCTGATTCTGCCAGCTGAAGAGTCATTTTGTTACACACAAAAAAACCCACACAAAAATCAAGGAACAAGGCTCTGGGGCCCTAGACAGATCTATTTTGTATCCTTGCAACACAGTAAATTTGTTGTTTCAGACATCTTACAGAAAATCAATGAAAATTGAAAATGAAACTGGCCATGAACTTGTGTAAAACTAGCCTTTCATTTTTGCCCATTCAGTTTGAGAAGTGAGCAGCAAAACCAAACATTTTAAGAGCCCTGAACATGGCAGGCAGCATCTTCCTAAGGGTTTGCATTTGAAATATGATCTCAGGCATCTCTGCAAGCCACCTTTCTGACACAAAATAATTTCTTGTCACAGATCTACACACGCTCTGTAATTGAACCTGCCGCTGCACCAGCACCAGCTAAAGAAGCCACCACTCCCCAGCCTGAAAATTCAAACACAAACACTTTGTACAGAAACACAGACCGGCAGCGAAAAAAATCCAAGATGACAGATGAGGAGATCCTGGAGAAACTGAGTACGTAGTCTGCATTTCTTGTCTGATGAAGCAGTGCACTGTATGCATTTCTCAGGATTATATGTACCAAGTGTTTAGCCACAGTTTAGTGTCACAGAGTTGCTTACAACTCCCTACACAAACTGTTACTGTGCTCAGAGGAAGCAGGAGAGCACTCTGGGTATTCCTTCTGCAGCTGTGACTGGGTTGGATTTGCCTTTTACACTAAAGGCAAAAGTGGAGATTGTTTCTCGTTGAGCAAAAGGCTGTGACCTAGTGAATGACCCAGTGAACTCCTGTGTGGTAACAGCCAAATTGAACAGAGTATTTGGGTTCCTAAATTATCTTTAGGCTTCTGACTTCTCACCAGTCATCTGAGCCAAAATACTTTGCAGAAATCTGTTGGGGTTTTTTGTTTGTTTTCCTTTTTTTAAAATTTATTTTATTTTTTTCTTTTTATCAGTGAGTAACTACAGCACTAAGCTGATTTCTTCAGCCTCAAGGAGCTCCCCTGCCCCAGATACTCTGTTGGTGTCATTTTTATGATTGTTGTTACTACTATTACTTCTAATATATCAGAATTCATTTTTTATAAGAATTCTCCATTTTGGTCACAGAGATCTCCTTTGAAAGAACATCATATGATATCAATAGAGAGGAAAAGGTGTTTTCAGTGTGCCCCAGAAGAAAACAAAAATAATTTTGTAACAATCCTTATTTTATTTTCTTAGCTTTATACTTATAAAGATGTATCAAAGAGACACATCTATGTGGTGTGATGAGATAAAACTGCACTGCAAGCATTTCTCAGGAGCCAGCCTCCAGCACCTCCACTGTATATTCCTCAAATACATGGCACTTTGTCATAGCTACTTCCCAGCTCGTTAATACTGTTAGAATCCTATTGGCCCCAAGCCCCTGCGCAGATCATAGTCTGAAACACATCAAGCCCTTCATGATTCTGCAGTACAACCAATTTAATCTGCTTCTTGCCCATAATACCTACCAGTGCTGTGTTTTCAGATAATAAATTGTTGGGTTCATAACATAGTGCTGTTTGCTCTGTGTCTGCCATTAACTGTTCGGATGAAAAGCAGATTGATCTACACCTCCTTTTGTCTGATCTCAAAGCCAATAATGTTCTGTCTTTAATGAGGGTAACTGCTTGTAAAGGGGTGCAGTCTGGCTGCAGCTTCTTCAGTGGCTGTCGATGCTCGTTCTTGTCCTGTACCAACCTTTTCATCATACTTACCCTGCTGCTGATGGCTGGTGTGACTGCAGAGGCTGACACCTTCCTCAGCTCTGAGATTTCAGTCGCTTGGGCAGTTTTCTGCATGCTTAGGAGGTTGACAGGACTATAAAGAGCTGAATCTCAGTGCCATTAGGGAGTATCCAAGGGATGAGCTCAATAGCTGTAGCTGAGGGCACAGTGGAATAAATTCCAGAGCAGGTAGTTAGCTGCAGGTACATCAGCTTGTAAAGGGAGGAATTACAACTTCTTCAGCTGAGACTGTTTGAGGCAGGCTTCCACCATGAGATCTGCAGATACCCTGTACACATGAACGTAAGTATACATGTCCTTTGCTCAAGTTTCTGTGTATGCCAGACTCGACTGAGCCCTTGAGTGGTTATATCTTTGAAATGATACATGCTTTCATGCTTTTTCTTTCTTAAGAATGTGATACCAAGTGAGCAAGGTCTGAAGGTCTGCCTTGGGCAAATTGTGATGTGGACAATGGAAGTCTTTTTGTGCTTTCATTAAGCTATCTGAAAACAGGGGTGATGCTTTTTTATTACAGTCCTGGTCTGATTATATTTAAGCATGTGTGGTGGTTTTTTCTGTTTTGTTTTAACCTGTATAACTTCTCCACCTTATCTACTTCCCCCATAGTTGATTTTATGCTATATTTAGGAAGATGTCCCCTGCCCTCTTTTATCTTAAATTGCTTTCATAATTCTTTTCTGCTTGAAATAACTTGGGTTTTTTTTAGACCCACTTCTATTACAAGTTTTACTAGGGAGTAAAGCCTGTAATACTGAGATAAGATCAAACAAAATTCTGTCTGTAATGAAATAGTGAATATGTGATACTAATAATTATAAAACAGAAGTGGCCCAATTCTGCTTTCTTATCCACTTAATTTAGGACTTGATAAAGGAAAGTGCTGAAAGACATCAAAATAGTTGATATGTTTATCTTTTGTCCAGAATAGGGAGTACTTCTCTGAACTGGAGCCCCATACCAGTCACTTAGTTGATTTTAGTGCTGTCATATTTGATGTGCATTGGCTTTAGCACAGGAAACCAGCCACAAACGACTAACTTGTGAAAGCAGCTACTCAAGTTTTGAGGAAAAACTCCAGAAATCTGAACTGCAAAATCTGTGATAAATTTGAAAAATTATTTTTCAAAATATTTGTTCTGAAGTCTTTATTCTTTTCTAACATGAACTTCCGTGAACTTCTGATATCTGTTCTGATAGAAACACAGTTCCATTAACTAGCTGAAAACAGCACCTAAGGCCAACACTGACCACACGGTGTTGTCCTGTTGTCCAGCCCAGCACAGGATTACGACAGTGTTTGGTTTAGTACAGCAGAGAGCTCGAGGATGTGCTTCTTCATCTCATATCCCTTCTTCCAGTCGGTTAACAGGGAGTCCCAAAGTCCTCTGGTCATATTTTTCTTGACTGAAGAGTTACTGTATTTAGTGGAGACCCACTATAGAGAAGCAGAATGATGTTATATGTTCCAGTGAGATGAAACTATGAAAAGTTAACCAGGTCCTGAAAGCGTTACGTCCTTGGCTTGCACTCCAGACAGTCCAGTTACCTGACCTCTCACAGGCTGGCACAGCAGGGCAGGACCCCAGTTGAGGCTACTGGAGCCTGTGTTGGCATCCCCAGCCACAGGCAGGTGCCTGTGCTGCTGTCAGTGGTGGCACTGGCTGGTGTTCCTGGAGTGCTGGCTGAGGGAGCGAGTACCACAGGGCAAAGGAAATCGCTCCTCCTGCAGCTCCCGTTAGTGATCTTGCCAAGGCCAGCAGAACTGGTTTAGCAGGGAGTGTACCAGATGGTGCTGATGCCCCTTCTTCTTGCCGGGCTGGCAGGCAGGATTTCTGGCCAGGCATCCAGTCAGGTGCCCGTTTGGGTGCTAAAACCCTCTGCTCCAGAGAAATGGCCTTGGCAGAGGAGAGCCGTGTTTGTTACTACTTGCACTGAATGGCACATCACCTAGTCTTGTTTTGGATGCTCAGGTGAACAAATAAGTATGTGTCTGTATTTGTGCTGCAGGATTATTGCCAGATCAGTCAAACAAAATATGCTCTGAAACATTGGAGGTTTTTCCTCCTGAGCTAATCTTCTTAAAGTATTTCAGTGATGTACATTCCAAGTTAAATCTTTAGAAGTTATTTGCATTGAGGCATCACCTTAGGCTTCATTGTTTGTATTTTAACTAGGAAACTACTAGACCAGAAAAAACAATATTGTGTTTCCAATTATTCCTTCACATTTGTTTGAGTTTATCAGATTTTGGCTCTTTCATTTGACACAAACAGTGTATCCTACTTCCTGCTTTCTTTCCTTCCCCTTCAGACTGCCTACACCTCTGAGTGGGCAAGAAGCCATCGAGCATGCATGCTTTAATTTTAGCTTTCAGAGGCTCATGAGCTCCACACTGGCTGTTGGAGCCGGACTGTCCTGCGCCCTGTGCCGCATGGGCTGGCCCTGCCTTCCCGCTGCTGCAGCGCGGAGCTGCCAGGAGGCGGCAGCATCCCATCTGGCCTGGCTTCCGAGCCGCATCACCTGTACTCATGAAATTATCTGCATCTCTTTTGTGCAGCTGTCTGTGTAACACTAGGGCCTGAGGAATATTGCTGTTCTTGTTCTCCATCACAGCTGCACTTACGTGTGAAGATCAGCATGTGTGCAGTGCTGAGAGTGTGAGTCAAATGCTAATTACTGATCCGAGTCAAGTTGAAGACAAGCAGTGAGGTTCTTAAAATGGCACAAGCAAGGTCTTCTTCAGAACTGAGCCTGGTAATAAATTATGAGGGTCGTAGTTCTTAAAGCCCCATAATTATTGATTATAACATGTGATGCTGTTCTTTAAAAACATAAAAGCATTCTTTTGGCAGACTGCTGAAAGGTTGAGAAGATCCCATCCTGGAAACACTTTACAATATTCTTCCTGTTCTGAAAATGGCACCTGTTCAGAAAAATTGATTCCAGAACCCAAGGTGCATTTAATCTTCTGAAGTATTAAACCTTCTGTGAAATCACACAGAGTATTTATTCCTAAGATAAAGGCTCTGTCGTTCCAGCTGTCATTAACGTTTGGAGACAAGACACACTTGCATTGATATTTGTTCTTTTCTGATATCTGTCTCCTGTGAATGTTTCTCCATGTTCTTAGTTTCCTGTCAAGGTAACTTTCCAAAGGACAGTAGAAAACCAGTCTTTGTGAAGGCCATCTGTGCTACCCAGCTGCCTGTATTATTGCTGTTACCCAACTGACTCCAAATGGCTCACAACCCCAGACAGTGGGGCTGCATTTCTGACCTGCTGGAAGGCTGGTATCTCCATTTTTAAGTGAGCATCTTTTATTTTCTGTCTTTCTTTCAGGGAGCATTGTGAGCGTGGGAGATCCTAAGAAGAAATACACTCGATTTGAAAAAATTGGCCAAGGGTAAGTCCAATCACAGTTACTTATACAAAGACATGGGCCAGGTATTTTGCTGGTGTAATATCAAGCATGAAGTCAGGCAAGCTCCAGACATGGTCACACACTGGGTTTAGATTCTCCTGTCTCTCAGTACTGATCAGAATTTGTAACTGGTCAAAAGGCATCATCAAAGACAATTTAATGCTGGCAGTGTCTTGTCTGCAACAAGGAGCAGCACCTGGAAGCAGCATTGTCCCTCAAGTATGTGGCACCTGTTTGCTTATTTTCTTAGGAGAAGTCATTTTTTTATATCTCAAAATAATATATCCACACTAAAGAAAGGAGGAAAAAAAATATTGCCTAAAAGACCACTTACCACCTGATAGTTGTCAGATAAATAATAGTTTTCAATATCATTTCTTTCACATATTTTGCTTAAAAAAATACTCAGTGATCAAGATTATAACCACATAGTTTAGTAACTGAAACCAGAGATTAAATAATAAGCTCTCTTTTTTGGCAGACAGTAAAAAACAAAAATTCATTAATAAACACAATGTCAATGCACAAAGTACTAGATGAGAAAATGCATCATCTGCCTGATGGCAGACCACTCCTGGATCCTACAGATTTTATGTCTTTATTGAAAATAATCAACCAAGCTATTCCCTTTTGTAACCCAACTTTGCTTATTGTAAATAGGAGTGATTTGAAATATTTCCTGTGTGAGGAGGGAAGAACAAAAGAAATTACACAAAAAATAGGCATCTGACTTGCATTTTAAATAGAGACAGACTCCCTGCTCCGTCAGAGTTCCCTTGGCTGTGTTGTAATTCCAGGAGGGCTGGTGCTGTTTGTGTGACACCAGGATCACGCTGTGGTCAGTGCATGACAGAAGCTGTTTACTGACATGAGGAGACATTTTTCTGCCTTAACTGTGAGGTTTGAACTCAGGGTGGCATGTTGCTGACCTAGAACTGATAGGTAACTGCAGAAGCCAGACACACTCGTGCTCTTTCTCTGGCAGGCTTTATCGTAGATATATCTTGTTTGGTAGGGCACTTGTGGGAAGGTGTTTCTGCTGCATTCATTGTATAAAAGCCCTTTCTCAGATTTCAGCTTTTTTCTACCTGAAGCTTTGGTTCTTATTGTCATTTGTAAAATGTCAGTGGACACTTAGAGCTGTGCCAGTATCTCAGAAGATAAGTGTCAGCTGAAGAAGTGAGAGTCAGAATAAACATGCATTTGAAGCAGATTATTGCTGTCACCGTGAGAATATGACCATCACCCTCACAATCTTTTATTTTGACAGTCCCAGGAGTGAGCTTGTACAAAGGTGCCTCAAGAACTGGTGGAAAGACAAGTGGCTAATATCTGGCCTAAAGGGGTATCTGAGTTGATTTCCTCCAGCTTTTAGTACAGCCTGAAGATTGCATGCCCTTCTTAGAGAGTAGTGAGTGTGCTGCTGTAACCAGCTCTTAACTGTAATGCTGCAAGACAGTCTACAGTGATGAGGAAAGATCCTAAAGAAAAAAATTGTCACAGAGGTAATCAAACAGGATGATCAGGAGGAACCAGACTGCTGCATGGCTGGCGTTAGCGTGTCTGGCTGCAGCAGGGCTGGGCTGAGATGCAGTGCCTCGGGTGGTGCTGATGTGCTTAGGTGCTGCAGGTGCCAGTTCCTGAGCTGCCCTCCTTTGCAGTGAGTTGGGTACAGTTATGCCGAAGTCACAAGTAGTGTTGGAAGTGAATAGGTTTTTAGTAGCTGCTAATGAGAGCACTGCAAGGCAGCAGGAGATGTGTCTGCTCAGAGAACTGCAGGTAGAGAACAACTCTTGATGTAAGGAAAAGCAACTTGACCAGCACGTAGCACTTCATGGCTTCATACAGCTGGTCAGTTAATAAAGTGTGATGGTTTTACAGCCACTTTGCAGTGAAGAGTAGCCAGCGGGCTTGTGCTGAAGGACAGGTCAGCTTCAGTGCTGAGTCTCTGGTTTGTCATCTGTCTGCAGTTGAGGACTGAAAATGCTGCTGACACCAGAGGAAACTTAGTTAACTAGTGCTTGATAAAGAGGCTGTGTTTGCTCAAGCAGCGTTAGCTCTTGCTAGAAAGACAAATTAGTGTGGAGCCACAAGCAGCCTGGGTTCAGATTGGTTTTTTTAACTTGTACTGTACTGCATCACAGTGACACAGATCTAATTGTGGGCCCTGGTACTCGCCTAACTGCATTAAACCCAAGATATTACAGAAGCATTTAGAAGTTAGATAGAGATCAGAAATTATAGTTGCTTAGAAGTAAAAGTTCATAACACACAATTGCAGAGCCCTTGCAATTAATTCACAGCTTTACTTAAATTACTCACCTTTATCTAAACTCCTCACAGATGGCCTGGAGCATACCAAAAGCATCCTAATTTAAATAACTGCTTTTAAATAAATCGTGACAGTACTTTGCTCAGGAGGTGTAGCATAGTGGTAGCAAGTCTGAATACATGGTGTTGGCTTTTTATGAAAACAAATTGGATTAATCTTGACAATTAGTCATAGGAAAATGCATTTGCATTTATATTAAAAGAACACATAGCGTGCCCAATGAGAACATTGTTCTCAACACAGATGTACAGTCTCTGGTGACTGTCGAATTAAAATGCTTCAGAAATATTTCAGCCTGCAGGTAAACAAACAAGCCAGGGATCGTGCAGAAATGAGCAAACAGATTTTGGCATCTTCAGTCAGTGGGACCCTTGCTGGATGTGTGTTCCTGCTTCTCAGAGATCCCACCTTGGCTCTCCCTTACCTCATGCCCATGCAGACATGGGCTTCTTAAATGATGGCAGTGTAAACCTGTGGTTAAGCTCAGAAGGAAGCCCCATTTAGGGTTTACAAGCCCTCAGTTGCTTTTAAACCCAAAGGGATTTCCTCTGATTGTGGCCTTTCTGGGCCTTCACATCGTTACGAGGGAAGAGCCTCTTTTAACCAGAGGCAGATGGCAAACAGAACCCCACACTGTCTAGTCTGCAGGTGAGCATGCCATTTATTTCTGCTGGCTCTGCAGCACAACCTGTCTGCCACAGAAGCAAAACATAGACACCTTGAAGAGTCCTTCACGCATCTGATGCATCTAACAGAGACAGCTGCTGATGGCTCTTGACACATAAAGAAGCTCTCTAAGGATCTTCTCTTTTGAGTAGTTCTCCATTTGTGTGTGAAACAATATAACAATATAATGCAGCCTTAACCTGCTCTAGCTGTGACCTCGCAGGATGGCTGGAGAATAGTTTCCTTGCATGCTGGAGAAAGCTGTGTCTAGATCCTTTCCTCAGATGGCTGTCACATGTATTCAGAGTTCTCGGAATGACTGCATGGTGTTGCCTGAATTTTGCAGATAGACTTGAATAAGAGGCCTGAGAAGGCACAGCTAGACTGTATGTTACATTCTCTGTAAAAAAAAAACAAACCACACACAAAAAAAGAAAAAACAGCAAACAATAAACAAACAAACCCACAAACAAAAAACCCACAACAAAAAAAGCCAACCAAAGCAAAACTGGAGAAAATGGGAAAATAATTAAATATATTATTTTTCAGTCTTTGTAAACATGACCCCCTTAAGTTTTGAACTAAAATAATTTATTATATATGCTTTGAGATTTGCACCAGCCCTTTTTCTTCGTGTTGAACATAAGTTTCATCCTGGATGCCCTGTGTGACGGCGGGCTGGTGGGCTGCTGCACTGTGCGCTGCTGGCTGAAGGAGGGGATGAACAAAGGTGTTTCATAAACACTACAGGCAGCAAAGATCTTCTGGGCTTGCTTTTACTCATAGGGACTAAACTGCTTCTCATTCTTCGCTGCTATTTTGTTTCCAGGGCATCAGGAACTGTTTATACAGCAATCGACATCGCCACAGGACAAGAGGTAAGCGTCAGCAGTCCCCGCAGATTTTGCAGGTACTCGGTGCTTTCCCCTCTGCTGCGGACTGTGGATGGGGCTCTCGGTCGCTATCGGATCTTTACTACAAAGGCTGTTCCTCCTGAACACAGACTAGTGTCAGCTGGCAAAATACATCATCTGCTGTCTTCTGCTTTTCAGTGGAAGCTCTTTAAGGGCAATGTGGTTCTGTGCCTCAGAACACATGCTGTGGCCACCCCTTCCCAGCAGCCGTTACACTGAGGTGTTGATTAGTGCCTGAAAGGTGCCTACGAATTCCTGGGAGGAGGTCCTGGTCCCCCTTGGATTAGTAAGAGGTTTGGTGCTTCACCCATAGCTTTTTAAGGCAAATTGTAAGACAATTATTTTTTTACTGTTTTTCAGAACAGGTACAGTGCCCTCCACAGTATTGTTGGTCCCAGCCTGGTACCACGTCACGTCATCCCTGAATGGGTATTTTAATGGAGAGAAATCTGTAAAGAAATCCCAGCGAGGTTTTGGGCCTGATAAAATCTATGTAATTTTTATTGCCAGTGTAGATGTATGGGTTTAGGAATTGCTATATCTCTGTTCCCCAGTGTGCATGAAGTGCTATTACAGAGCACGTTGGTCTATATATACAATTTAACTCTGTACATTTACAGCATAAAATCTGCCTGTGGACCTGCCATGGATCGGTTAGCAATACAAATTGTAAAATGTAAAAATCAGTTGTAATGAGAGGCCTCAGGAGAACTCTTAGTGCTCGTCACAGGTTCCCCTATTGCTGTGAGGAATAAATAGCTTCATCACATCACTTAATAAGGACAAAGTCTGTCCAAAATTAACTATCAGAAAGAATGCAAAGAGGGAAGTGGTATCTTCAGAGAAGGACAGTCTAGCTCTGTTGTAATTACTAAATATATTAATGGATCAACTAGTAATGAGGGCTCCTGTCATTCAGTCCCAACTTATGCTAATCACAGGTTCAGACTATTTAACATTTTTTCCACCATTTTTTCATCTTCAAAGTATAATGCAAGACCTAATTAAGGACAGATCATGTTTAGGATGCAGGTTTTGTGTTTTAGTTGTACTGAAGCTGGTTGACACACACTGACAAATAAGAAAGCGTCTATCAAGAGCAAAGATCTCTCCTAAACAACACAGTCATGTTTAGGTCCCGTGTCAGTGACGGCCCATGACAGCCTGTGAACTAGTCACAGGGAAGTGGGGGCCCGTGGTGAGAAACAGATGTTGAAGGAAAGCAGCGTTCACTCTGACAGTCCCTGTAGTGGCCGATTTCCAGGGGCATCTTAACGTTCATTTCCTTTTTCAAGTCAGAGGTTTTGAATAGATACAAACTGCCTGGAAATCTGGTTAGAAAACCAGGAATGAGAGTGGAGGGGAGGTCTCTTTCCTGACCAGTCAAGAGCAGGACTAGACAGGGAGGGAGGGTGGCCAGATTGCGTATGGAAGGAACAAGAGGCAGACTCAAAATACCCACAGGGCCACGTCTCCCCACAAGCTGCGTGCCGGGTGGGAGGGCTCTTCTGGAACCACTGGGGAGGATGTGTTTGTAGGAGCCCTTGGCTGGAGCTGAGCTGGAAGGCTGAGCTGGAGAGAAGTAGGGCTGAGCCCAGAGGGATGGGGCTGGCAGAAGTGGGCTCAGCAAGGAGGCCAGGAGGAGAAGCTCAAGTGGAGACTGTGGCTACCTGGGGCAAGATGGGACTGGGTGGAGGACCAGCATGAGGCAGAGGCAGGATGGCTACAGTGGTTCAGAGCAAAAGTGATCATACTGGTAACAAACAGACAAGGGAGTGTCTTAAGAGAATCCTGACGCTTTTTGGGGCTACAGCTTAAGATTTCTGATCTGTCAGTTCTGGCTCTCAGCAAACACATCTGAGTCTTACTGGTAGTTTCTCATCCACCTGCAGTGCTGCACTAAAAAAACTTAGATGGAGGTCTGCAAGGGATCTAAGCCTTGCTTATAACCCTGGGTGTATCCATAGAATGGATTATTTTTTTAAAACCTGAAAGATAATTGCAAATCTAAACTGTGTTAAAGAATGTTATTTCAAGTTGCAAAATCAAAATTCAAGAAGTTAGGAAGTGCTAGGATTGTGTATTTTTTGTGTAACCTTAATGATCTTTTTAATATGGCATTTTATACGTGATGTATGTATGTGTTTTCTTTCAGTTATGTCATCAAGTCAAGAATAACAGCATTTGCTGAAATAATGATCAAAAATCATGTAATTGCTAAAGTATTTGCTGTTTTTATATATTTTCACAGTAACAAAATCACTTCCTGCTTGCAAAACATGAGTGAATAATAATAGTGGTGATAAACTAAGGCCATTTGAGAAGAATGTAGGTCCAGAGAGTGTTGTTGGTAGTTTAAAGACCATTTTCACAGATTTTACAGGGCAAAGTCTATATGGCTGCATGTCCTGTAACTAGCACCCAAGCTAGCAGAGAAATAGGATGTTGTAATGTAGGTTACTGAGCTCTCATGTCTAATAACAAGAGAGTTTGGCACAGCTCTGCTACATCATTCCAGAAACACTCACTCCATGTTCATTCTGATCTCCTGCAGCAGGCTACTCAAGTCAGTGCTTTTCGATGTCATTTTAGGTGGCCATAAAGCAAATGAATCTCCAACAACAGCCCAAAAAGGAACTAATTATTAATGAAATCCTGGTCATGAGGGAAAATAAGAACCCCAATATTGTTAACTATTTGGACAGGTAAGTAGTTATGGTATTATCATGTGAATGTTCATTTAATTTATATACTGCAAGCAAAAGATAAAAAAACCCCTTTGGTCACTGGCAGAAAATTGGCTTCTTTATTATTTATCTACTCATATAGAGTGTATGGGAAGAGGCTGCATTTTGTCTGCATTAATCTTTTCTGGCATATATAGTTTGAAGACTGTTTTAAAAAGCCTGGATCAGCCATAGCTTACTAAAACAACAGCCTGTAAGTTCACTACCTCCATGTTGTTTTGTTATTGTTGGTTTTTGTTTGGTTGGGGTTTTTTGTGTTGGTTTTTTTTTTTTTTAAGTTGATCATATTTTCTGTGTCTTAGGATAAGTGCTGATAAATCATCATAGAAATTATTTCACTTGAGCTGTTCCCACTATTTTCCATTGCTGTGGATGCCAGGAAGACTAGGTTCTTATTTCCAGAAGTGCATAATTTGCCAGTTTTTAAATTGTTTTCCCTGTTTGGGAATATATTTTATGTAAGGTTTTCCAAACTGTTGACCAATTTCTGTCCTCAGTGGTACACACCCTCCTAACCATGGACAACTATGAAAGTTGTGTTGCCTTGTTCCTGGAGTTAATCATGGAATTTATGTGTCAAGATGATGAACCAGATGATGTGATATGTCCTGGTTCAAGATTTATCTTTGCTGTTACTAAACTGCATTTTTCACTTGCTTGCCATTTAAGATGTTGAATTTTTCATTTATGTGCCTTTCTCGTTTAGACTGATTCTAGGTACTGTGTAAGTGAGAAGGGATGTCTGTTCATTTTATTCTGTCTTCATTTAAAAATGACCTGAAAACAAAAATCAGCTGTGGTCTTTGTCATGAGGTAAGTTAGCCACACACATTCATCTCAACGCCATTGTTTTCTTCTTCCAGCTACCTAGTCGGTGATGAACTCTGGGTGGTAATGGAATACTTGGCTGGAGGCTCTTTAACTGATGTTGTCACAGAGACATGTATGGATGAAGGACAGATAGCAGCTGTCTGTAGGGAGGTAAGGGATCCCACGTGTGCTCCCAATTGCTTGGACAGGATGGTCCTTCTAAACAGGCGGTAAGAACATGAGTGATTTCATGTTCAGAGCTTTGTTTCTGTGTTGCTTTTATAATAGGAGGAAGAAAGAGCATCTTGAGTGAACTGCCTGCCAGTGTCACTGCACTTCTTATACTCTGTTCTTATACTCTTATGGACTGTTATTGTACTATCTCTTTTTTATTTTGTTAGTTTTACTGTTCTCAACTTTGCCTCTTTAAACATTTGCCTGGCGCATGTCTGTACTGCATTCCTTGCCTGGAAAAGCAAACATGCTGCTGGCAGAATTTTAAAATAACAGCAAAGAAAAATAGACACTAATTTATCACAGTCCTCAGCTTAAAAGGATGGTGTTCCACCCAAAATGGTGTTTGCTTCTGAAAAATTACTAACGTGCTATTTCCAAATCTGCTGTAGAGCCTAACAATAAAATCTTTGTGGTGCAACCCCCACCTGAAAGTGATCCACTTCACACCAAAGGAAGGAACTTTTTCTTTTTTGGCAAGCAGTAGTTTGTCATATGGATGGAGATAGCTCATTCATTGCAGCAGTACTCATTTTGTCTTTGCTTTCAGGGGATGGTCTGTAGCAATAATTGACATTTCTCTTTCAAAAGCCAATATGCCTTCATCTACAAAGTTATTACTCTAATAGTGTTGAGGCAGCAAGCTATTCCTCTTGGCAGCACAATACTCTGCCATTACTCACAATTCATCTAGAAATTAAATCTTTTAGAGACATTTCCTTTCTTGTGTGATGAAATCGGGCATTAATTTTTACCCTTGTGTTTCTTTTTTATGTCAGTGCCTGCAAGCACTGGATTTCCTTCATTCAAACCAAGTGATTCACAGAGACATCAAGAGTGACAATATTCTTCTTGGAATGGACGGATCTGTCAAATTGAGTAGGTATTCTTGGTCAGGCGCAGCATTCCCAGGACGTGGTGTGGGGCTGCTTTTGACTGACTACCAGTTACCCAAGAGCGGTGCCTGTGGTAGTGCACTGACCACTGCTGCGAGCTGGGAGCATGATGCCAGCGTGAGAGAGGTATAGACAGGAGAAAGCTGTGAAGGGTGCCTGAAGGTTTGTGTAGGCCCCTTCCAGAGGGAGGGAGTTACCATCTAAAGCTTGAAGTGAAGAAAAGCCACTGCAGGAAACTTGAGGGGGTTTTTAAGTGGCCAATTCTATATTTCCTTGGCTATAGCACCAAGTAAACAGAGCGTGGCTGCTTTTCCAGATAGATTCAACAACGCAGTCTTAGACATATCGTGGGGATTTCTTTTGCTTGGTTTCATCGTTCCAGCTGGCTTTAACAATACTTGTTTTTCTCTTCAGCTGATTTTGGCTTCTGTGCTCAGATCACCCCTGAGCAGAGTAAACGGAGCACAATGGTCGGGACTCCTTACTGGATGGCACCAGAAGTGGTGACAAGAAAAGCATATGGCCCCAAAGTGGACATCTGGTCACTTGGGATCATGGCAATAGAAATGGTGGAAGGAGAACCTCCTTACCTTAATGAAAATCCTCTCAGGGTAAGGTACAAATGAAATCACATACCACTCTCTTTCTAATCTGTTCCATGTTTTGTCTCCCATGAGACAAAATCCCAGTCACATCAGCTTGAACTAGTTCCACCAAGGCCTGCTTCTAAAAATGCCACCAGAGCATATCAGAATGTACTGGGGCTTTGGTTACATCAATGGGAGAATCTCAGAAGAGGCGTGACATGTAGCCAGTTCAGAAATGTGACATTTTTTGACATTTCTCATGCAATTTTTGAACTCCCTTTGAGCTATATCTCTGAATGACAAGAATTTTTCAGTGGCAAATTCCCTCAATTGGGGAATTATGAAAAGCATTTCAACTGTATCTGCAAGAATGGAAGTCTTTTCAAATTCAGATCAGTGCCAATTGCTTACCTGAGCCTTTCAGGAAGTATCACTGGTTGTAGTAATGCCATAATTATTTATTACCAAATGGATGTTTTAGCACAGATACTTGTAGTAAAATAATATGTTTTTAAGCTTTTAGTTTTATCCTAATTCCTTAAAATGAAATCTTTACACCAAATGAGCGTGTGATAGTGGAGGAACGTATACCAAGATGAAACCTCATGACTGATAGCTGACACAAAGTTAACTGCCGCAGTTGGTTCCTGATAGGATGCAGGAATTTGAGGAAATTAATTTTGACCTATGTGTGTGTATACATAATTTTTGTTAAGGCTAGAGTGAAAATAGAGCATGACCTTTAGCCATTCTCATAGCAGCAAGGCTGTGCTCGCTGTGGTCTGTGGCACCAGTCTGTCTCCTGCAGACTGAAAGGAACAGAATGGTCAGGAAACAGCCCCAGCCCTGCTGCCTAAGGACAGAATGTGACAGTTGGGCAAATTGCAGTCTGCCACTCATTTTGAAAAAAAGGTTCCTGAGTTTTCTTGGAAGACTTCTTTTGGTTTGGTAGGTGCCCTGGGGTTTTTGGGTCCAGTGTGTACATGTGGAGTGATGCGCGCTGTGCCACCTGTGAGGGAGGGTAAGAAGGAAGCAGCTTTGGATTCAGACTGATGCTGAATAAGCAGAGTGCACAGTAGCTGGCAGGGTGGCACTAGGCCTGTGTCACTGCAGCCCAGTTTTACCAGCAGAGACTTTTGCATATCACCAGTTTTGTTTCAGCTTCCTGCAAAGAGAGGACCCTACATTCCAGTTGCTTCCATGGAAGCCCCTCGCAAAATATCCGTTTGCCTTGTATAAGGCAGCAAAAATGGATTATGAGAATTGGCATTAGGTCTGGATGCTGAAAATTCCCTGCTTCCTTAACCTCAGATGTTGATTAGGGCTCCTCGAGAAGCCTTAGGTCAGCTGTTAGAAAGATCACTGGATTTCTGACCAAAGTCCCATTCAGCTATTCCTGCCCTCACCCAGATTATTTGAGATGCTCTTTTTCTCCATACATGCCTCATCTCCTGCTGGAGTTAAGATCAGCTTGAACATTTAGAGCTTCGAGGCATCTTCAGGTGTCTGAGTAAAATTGCAGTAGATTAAAATCGGACATCTGTATTAGCTTCTTGTGGAGATTGTTGCCCCTGAGCTAGGAACAGTGAACAGCTTGTGATGGACCACCTGAAGTTCCCCCGTTAGCAGCTGTTTTTATTAAGGTAAATCAACCCCAACAGGGACAGGATCCATCTGCTGCTGCACGTGCAATTGGAGACTTCAGTGAGAGGTCTCGGTTGTATCCAAACAGAAGAGCTTATAAGCAGGACCTGGTTTTACAGCAGAGGTTTTAGCTGATGGCACACAGTAGTTGTGTTGGGTTTCATAGTCACATTTAGACCACGTTCAGGGAATTCTGCAAAGCCTGGAGACAAAAGGATGCTCTTTCACTTTTATGAATGATTGTTTTAATAATGGGAGGCATGCAGGAGCTCCAGCTACTGACGCTAATTTAAATACATGAATAAATTACAAGGGTATTAAAGGATCATTAATCATAGTTAACAGCAGTCTTAATGTAGATGCATTTGTTGTTTTCCACGTGTAGCCCAAATGCATCCCATGTTGCTTGAGTTCTTTCAGCCAGTGCAGAACTCACAGGAATGAACTGAACCATTTTCCAGCCGTGAGTGTCCTGGATATTTCTGTGATGGTATTTGTTTTCTCTTGCTGTGATTTCCTTCCATCAGGCATATGCCTAGGGCCTGAGGGACAAACATTGGTATGATAAATATCACAGTTTGGACCTCCCCAGTTTCAATTAAAAAAAACAAACCAAAACAAAACCACACACAAAAAACCCTCAAAAAACCTAAACACCCCCAAACCCTAAGCCTTTCTGTTTGCTTTTTCATTTATTAACCACAGCACATCAATTTTCCTCAAAACTGTAGCATATTTGCCAAATGCTCTGGGTCTTCTACAGTTTCAGGTTTCTAAATCATCTGTGTATTATTTTGTCATGTATCTGGGTGGCCTGGATAACTTCAGGATATTGTTTTCACAGACTGCAGCTATAATTGTATGCTGAATCCTTTCTTGTTTCGTGGTATGTTAAACAAATTAATGAGCTTATTGCCCCTTTGCAGCTACTGCAAACACTCGTTTCCTTTGTACTGTACTTGTTTTTCTTTGCCAGTTGTATCATAGGAAATAAAAAGATACACGATAAGAAGGTACTTCAGCGTCCCATAGACCTTTTCCTGTTGTAGGAGTACTTAGAAGGTGCAGGACCTAGCTAAAGATGAGTCGTCTTCATGATTCATGTTCTGTGAAGAAACGAGCAGCTAAGAGTTGCATTTGTCCTGGCACTCCTGTTGCACGGTCAGGTGAATGTAGCTGGAATAAAATTTCCAAGGTTGACATTGGTGCTATATTATTTTACCACGGGAGAAGTAACATCCCTTGGTTAGCACAATTTAAACATAGAATGAGGACAGGCACTCCAGCTCACCGCTGTGTCGGGTGGCTGAGGTCAGCTACAGATGGACAGGACAAGTCTGATTTTGTGACATTTATGTTGTGGGAAAAGTAAAGAAACTTTGTTTTATTGTTTTCACTCTAGGATAGTTCATTTGCCTTTTTAGGCTTGGAATTTTTCCTCTGTATTTAAGAGGATAATAACAAAGTCAATTTGGTCACGGTCATTTAAATGCTAGTAGTGCAGAGCTGTTATTATCATGGCAGACGTTTTCATGGAAGACTCCTACGCCCGTTTCTGTTATTATTACAGTATATTTTAGACATATTCTGCAAGTTTAAGTTTGAATAGTTCCAAATGTTTGTCTTATGCTACTAAATAACATCTAGCAAAAGCAAAATGAACTCCTCTCTCTAGCTACTCAGCATCTTAGACACTGGTTACAAGTGAACCGCATTGGGTGTTGCTCACCCTGTATTTTGCAAAGTTATGTTGTAATTCCTTGGCCTGAGGACTGTCGGGAAGACTTGCTAAGCATATGAATGCTGCCAGCTGCATGGAACTGAGCATCCCTGGCTTTGCTTCGGAACCTTCAGCTTAGCTTAGGCTCGATGCTGTTGAGGAGGAGAAGAGCTGGAGTTTTCAGGTGTTTGGCTGGGGCTGTGTGCACAGAACAACCGTGCATTCAGATAAGCAGCCGGACGTGTGTGTACAGCCTGGAAGGGAATTCACAGGGGACTCAACCCTTAACACAGACAAATCTCCCAGTTCTCAGGTAACACTTTGCTTGGGGTTTTAAGTTGTTCCAGCTCTTCTGTCTGTGAAGATGACCCTGAAAGCATGAAACAAGTGTAACAGATTTAATGTTATCTTTCCTTAAATAAACCCCCCAAAAACCCAACCCAAACCACTACCACCAACAATAAAATCCTTTTCTAACCTTTTCTAAAACAGTGGTTTTGCGAGATGAACTACACCCCAATTCTCACTAGGAAGTTTGCCTGAAACATGAGGTTTATAGTTTAAAGGCAAAATAGTCTATTCTGCTTCTTGTCCATTTTTGCTGAAATACTTAGTGAATGTATTTCTTTCATAGCCCAAGCCACCTTCTCCATGTCTCCAAGCCTCAGCTTTCAATAACCCAGCTGCCAAAAGCTCCCATTTCTTCCCTGGCAATTTTGAGGATGGGAACATCATTAACATATTTACTTGAGTATCAAAATGAGCGCAGGGTCACCATCAGGATGGAGTTACTCATTTTTCTGATTAGACTAGTTTTTCTTTTACCATGTAAGTGAAGCTGATCTGGAATTTGGAGGCTGCTGAAAGATGTAGTTGCAGGTGGCTCCTGTCTGCCCAATTACATGTTTTATTCGTAATATATTTTCACATGCAATTTATGTGTCTGTTGAAAATGAGGTTCCAAATGTTTCTGTTTCCAAGGAACAAGCTGATAGATTTACTTTTTTTCATCCGGTTACCATTTTTATCAAGAGCAGAGCAAAAAAATTTGACTACTTTTGTTGTATGGAAGCTGTACTTTAGGGACCAGTGAGCACTGCAGAGATGCATTTATGTAATAATCCTTTAAAATTATATAGTTAGACCAAAGTCACTCTTTAAAATAGCCTGTAAGGCTGGTGTCAATACTTGGAGAAGCAAAATGTGCTTTTGCTGATGTAGTTAATGCTAACTAGGTCAGCCAATGGAATCAGCTGTCAAGGCAAGATCATTTTGATGTTGGAATAGCTGCATCAGACTTTTTTTGGTTGGTATAGAAAAGTCATCTCTAACCCTCTGCCAAGGAAAAAACTGCCACTGGAGACTGGACCCTACAAACGGGGCCTGTATGAGCAGTTACGGATCTGGAAGAAACAGATGAGTCTCGTGTTCCCTTTTTCTCCAGGCGCTGTATCTGATAGCTACGAACGGGACACCGGAGCTGCAGAACCCCGAGCGGCTGTCCGCTGTGTTTCGAGACTTTCTGAACTGCTGCCTGGAGATGGACGTGGACAGGCGAGGGTCTGCCAAGGAGCTTCTGCAGGTAAAATGCAGAGCAGCAGTGAAACAGCTGTACAATAATGGCTTTCTCATCAGCATCAGATTGAACCCTCTCATATTAGTCTCCAGTCTTGGTGCTTTTCAAATTAAAAATAAGTAGAATGGGTTGGGTTGGAAGGGACCTTTAAAGCTTATCTAGTCCAACCCCTCTACATGAGCAGGGACACCTTCCACTAGATCAGGTTGCTTAGAGCTTCGTCCAACCTGACCTTGAGTGTTTCCAGGGATGGGGCATCTACCACCTCTCTGGGAAACCTGTTCCAGTGTTTCACCATCCTCAGTGTAAAACATTTCCTCTTAGATCTAGTCTTAATCTCCCCTTTTTTAGTTTGAAACCATCACCCCTTGACCTGTCACAACAGACCCTGCTAAAATGTCTGTCTCCATCTTTCTTATAGGCCCCCTTTAAGTACTGGGAGGCCGCTCAAAGGTCTCCCCAGAGCCTTCTCTTCTCCAGGCTGAACAGCCCCAACTCTCTCAGCCTGTCCTCACAGCAGAGCTGCTCCAGCCCCCTGATCATTTTTGTGGCCCTATTTCGTATTTTGGTAGTATATTCAGTTTTACAAGGTGGCAAAATAACTGAAGTGGGATGATACTAGGTACAGAGGCCTGAAATGGTGTTGGTGACTGCTGTACACAGATATGACCAGGGAGGAACCCAATTAAATCAGTCACAGCTGAGGGGTCAGAAATTTGGCTGTGGGAAGGAAGGGGCTGTGGGGTGCTTGCTGCGAGCATCTGAGGGGCCCCGGCTTGTCCATCCTGCCCCACTCTTAGAGATTTCTGCCACCGAAACAGGGACAGCAGAGCAGGACTTGACACAGCTCCATTTGCTGCCTGGCACAGTTGAGTAGATGAGAACTGCTGCAGGTTTCCTGCCAGGTTTTGTGACAGATAGGGAGTTGCAGCACATGCCACTTGTCTGTCCCTGAAGTGAAGGTGCCAGGCAGCACAGGAGGGGCAGGGGATGGGATGGTAGACACTGCTCTCACTGCAACCCAGAGCTGAGTCCATCAGCCCTGTCACTTGTCTCCCTGCTCTTGTTTTGGTGCTGAAAACCTGTACCTCAGTGGCCTTCAGAACAGGACGTGGGCCTAAATACTACTGGGATAAACATTGCCTAGAGGTACTGGAGTTCCCTGAGGAGTGGCTTAGGCCCCTCATCTTTTTTTACAACTAAAATAGCCCATGGCTTTAGAAAACAGGAACCTAAGAAAGTATTTCAAGTTCCCTGAAAGGAACAAGGCCCTGGGACAGCAAGCAGCATTCCCAGAGCACTGGCAGGGCAAAAATCCCAGCAAACTGAAGACACCTTGATAAATGGATTAATAGGATTAAGGGCTGTGGTTGCCTGATAGCAAGGTACTGGACATGATGACACAGGTGCAGATGGTCCCCTCAGTCCTATTCCTGTGCACTCCTGATAACCAGAGGAATACTGCTTGAGCCTGTGAGTAACTGAGTTTGGAAAGTAACAGTTCATTTCTTTTTTCTCTCTCCCCTTGGAGCAGCATCCATTTTTAAAATTAGCCAAGCCACTCTCCAGCCTGACTCCTCTGATCATTGCAGCAAAGGAAGCGATTAAGAACAGCAGCCGCTAGCGCTTCAGGCCGGCTTTCTCCCGTGCCAGCTCAGAGCAGGACTGAGAACAAAAACTCTATGAAACCTCAACTCTCGTGCTGCAGGACAGATGGACGGATGAACAAACCAACGGTCACAGTCAAGGAGGTAGGAGGGAGAACAACCCAGTCCCTCAAGGAGTAAAATACTATCATTTGTCTTCTTCCTGCTTTCTGGCTCCTTAATTTATTTTTAAGATGAAACAGGGCTTAAGACAGAGAGATAATGACGGAAAATGCTTTGCTGCCTCAGCCATTTCCAAGGTAAAGCGAATTCAGTTGGAAGATTCCCTTCCTTCTCACCCTGTGAATAAGCTGTACATTCACTTTTAAATTGTCAGTTGTTTCTTAAAGATGGAAAGTCCCTTTTATGGTTTGTGAGGGGTTTTTTTAATGGTTTGGAATTGGAGAAGGGTCTCTCCTTCACTCATAATGTCCAGACTGCACTGCCTTTTAAATACAGCCCACTCACTGGTATTTGCCCAGTCATGGTACTTCTAGATGAGGAACAAAGTGAAACTGCATTTCCACCCAAAAATGAATCAAAGAGTGGGGCAGACAAAACATCCTGTTGAGAGACAGGCTTTCAACTGTGAATATATAGTGTTTTGGTTCTTGACAATTTTATTTGTATAACTAATTGTAATCTGTTTGCCTGGTTGAGAGTCTTAGTAAAATGAAAAAGCAGAAAGATCAGTCTGTGTGCTCAGAAAGGGCTCGTCTGATGCACAGCTGCAAGAGAAATGTGAGGTGGGAGCGGGCCCAGCCTTGCCTGGTGCTGAGCCCAGCAGAGCACAGAGCAGGCTCAGCATCCGCAGACCCAGGCTGGAGGAAGGCGCTTGCAGTGGCCAGCAGCAGCAGCAGACCAGCGCTGGGTGCTTGCCTCTTCCTGGGACTGGAATAACCATCCCGTGTCAGAGCCAAAGTGGCCGTGGGCTGCTTCCGAGGTGAATCGGGGCCGTGCTGTGGCACGTGCAGGCTGGTGGGATTGGCCATCTTGAGTCTGTGCAGGAGCAGAGAAGGGCAAAACATGAATAGTGCAGCTAACCCACCCTCACTCGCTCTGTCCGGCCCAGCGTCTTTGGCTGAGGCAGCAGACAGGCAATGCTCATGGCCTTACCACAGCTACATGTGTCAGCCTTTCTCCAGCACCCCACCATGTGTGAACAGAGGAGGACTTGTGGGTGATGTGATGGTTGGAGGCCATCTTGGGCATAGTGATCATGAAATGACAGAGTTTTCGATTCAGGGGGATCGGCAGAACTGCTCCCTTGAGCTTCCAGAGGGCAGACTTTGACCTGTTTAGGAGCCTGGTTGACAGAGTCCCTTGGGAGACAGTTCTGAAGGGCGCAGGAGTCCAGAAAGGCTGGACATTCTTCAAGAAGGAAGTCTTAAAGGTGCAGGAGCAGGCTGTCCCCATGTGCCACAAGACAAGCCAGCGGGGCAGAAGACTGGCCTGGCTGAACAGAGAGCTTTGGCTGGAACTCAGGACAAAAAAGGAGAGTTTATGACTTTTTGGAAGAAGGAGCAGGCAACTCAGGAGACCTGCAAGGATGTTGTGAGGTTGTGCAGGGAGAAAACTGGAAGGGCCAGAGCCCAACTAGAACTTAAATCTGGCTACTGCCATAAAAGACAACAAAAAATGTTTCTGTAAATAGATTAGCAACAAAAGGAGGAGTAAGGAGAATGTCTGTCCTTTATGGGAAGCACAGTGACCAAGTCTGAGGTACAGAAATACCTTCTCTGCATCAGTCTTTAATACTCAGACCAGTTGTTCTCTAGGTGCCCAGCCCCCTAAGCTGGAAGACAGGGATGGGGAGCAGAATGAAGCCCCCATAGTGCAAGGGGAGATGGTCAGTGACCTCCTACACCACTTAGGCACACACAAGTCTATGGGGCTGGGTGGGATCCACCCAAGGGTACTGGGGGGAGTGTTCACCAAGCCACTTTCCATCACTGATCAGCAGTGCTGGCTAACTGGGGAGGTCCCACTTGACTGGAGGTTAGCAAATGTGACACCCATCTAGGAGAAGGGACAGAAGGAGGATCTGGAGAACTACAGGCTTGTTAGTCTCATCTTGGTGCCAGGGAAGGTTATAGAGCAGATAATCTTGAGTGCCATCGCATGGTATGTGGGGAACAACCAGGTGATCAGGCCCAGTCAGCATGCAGGCCTGAAAGTGAAAGGCAGGTCCTGCCTGACTGACCTGATCTCCTTCTATGACAAGGTGACCTGCTTAGTTGATGAGGGAAAAGCTGTGGATGTTGTCTGCCTGGACTTTAGTAAAGCCCTTGAAGCTGTCTCCCACAGCTTTCTCCTGCAGAAACTGGCTGCTCATGGCTTGGATGGGTGTACTTTTTGCTGGGTGTAAAACTGCCTTTATGGCCAGGCCCAAAGACTTGTGGTGAATGGAGTTAAATCCAGTTGGCCCAATTGGGTCCCTCACTACAAGAAAAACATGGAGGTGCTGGAGCGTGTCCAAAGAGCAGTGAAGCTGGTGAAGGGTCTGGAGCACAAGT